CATCCATCCATCCTTCCATCCATCCATTGGTGCAGCCATCCATTCATCCATCCATCCATTGGCCCATCCACCCATTTATCCATCCATCCATTGGCCCATCCATCCATTCATCCATCCATCCATTTACCCATCCATCCATCCATCCATCCTTCCATCCATCCATTGGTGCAGCCATCCATTCATCCATCCATCCATTGGCCCATCCACCCATTTATCCATCCATCCATTGGCCCATCCACCCATTTATCCATCCATCCATTGGCCCATCCATCCATTCATCCATCCATCCATTGGTCCATCCATGCATCAACCCATTCATCCATCCATCCATTGGTCCATCCATCCATTCATCCATCCATCCATTGGTCTATCCATTCATCAATTGGCCCATCCATCCATTAATCCATCCATTCATTGGCCCATCCGTACATCCATCCATCCATCCATCCATTCATTGGCCCATCCATCCATCCATCCATCCATCCATCCATCCATCCATCCATCCATCCATCCATCCATCCATCCATCCATCCATCCATCCATCAGTTTTTCATTCATACTTTAAAACTTTTATCTTGAAGGTCTTTTGTACATACTAGGGCTATCTGTTTCTTAGCTTATATTATTATAATAATCTTAATGTCAGTATTCTCTGCTCTTAATTTAAATACTGATGGAAAGGTTGTAATTTTATTATGTCTTTTATTGACCTTAGAGGAAACAGCACATGCCTTTACTTTAAAGCATGCTGGCTGAAGTGATATATCTGGTTTCAAATAAGTGAGTGTTAAAAGGAGTACATCTGTTTCACTCTAAACAACTTAACTTATCTCTCCCTTATTTTGACACATCTGAGGTCGCAAGACACTGGATGAGTAGCGTTTCAGCCATGACATTAGAAGAAGAGACTTAATGAAAAACACGGGGCTGTGTGTGTCTGTGCATGCGGGGGAATCCCCCGGTTCCCATGTGAAGGCCGGCTATTTTTAATCTGGAAACAGGCCCTTTCTTTGGCTTTGCGGGGAACTTAACAGGCCGTGCCAGTCGGCTTTTTTTGGGACAAAAGATATGCGGGACAATAAACATTGTAAGGGCAGGAACTCTCTGGAGCTTCAGCATTCACAGGAAAA